GGCGCCCGTGTAGACGATCTGGCGGGTGAGGCCCGCCGTCAGGCCGGTGTAGAAGGCCGCGAGGCCCTCGTTCTTGAGCATGGTAGAGGCGATGGTCACGGGCCCTGTGGCCTCCGCCGTGCCGGCGAGCAGCTGGATGCGCACCTTCACCATGTCGATCGGCTGGATGCAGACCGTGGCGGCCATGCCAGACAGCGCGCCCGTGGTGAACGGCTTCATCGCCTTCCAGACGGCGTTGTCGGACATGGCTGCTGGTGCAAAGGAGAGGTCCTGTCCGCAAGGAGGCGGCCTGGCAGCCGCGCTGAGCAGATCCCTCCGAGCCCAGAACCAAAAAGAAGATGAGCCAAAATGACTGCGTGAGTAAAGTCTTCGCGTCTTCCTCAGATTGTGGGCAGCACTGTGTGGCGGCGTGGATAACCTGCTGCACTGGACAACACTCTTATCCCGTCCGCTTTCCTCTACGTTTCTCTCTTCCCCTGCTTTCTCCCCTCGCTCCGTTCTGCCTCTGCCACAAATTCTTGATCTCCTCCAGCCGACCGCACAACTCTGCATCAAGACAAGATCTGACCCTGTGGTGCAGACGCTGAGCCCAGAATAGTACGAACGCCGATTGGGGAACGCACCAAGCAATCCATAAGGGCACAACAACGCGGCAACGACACAGCAGCCGATCGGACCGAACCAAACCGAATCAAACGCAAGCGACTGCCGCGCAACCGAACCGACCGAACCACAGGCTTCCTCGGAAAGCCCCACTCCTCTTGCCCGCAAGAAACCCCACGCAGTGACTTTTTCACAACGCGGACCCCGGAGGTCCCGAACCCTTTCTGGGGATCCGCACGAATTTCTTGGATCCGCGCTGGACCCCCTTCCCTGGAGCGCGGAGCGCGCAGGGGGCCTCGCCAGAGGCGCCGCCAGGGCGTAGCGCCGATCCAGAGAATCCGCGCGGAGCTCCGAAAGCTTATGTGTACGCCAATGGTTATCCTCCGAGAACCATTCTTGACAGCCCCAGGGACCTGCAGGCCCTAGGCCAAAGACAACGAAAAACCTTCCGTCGAATGCTTCGTCGCAGCGCGGCGGCACCGCCCCGCCGCGCGACGCACGGCCGACCTCCGCGACGACGCACGGCGGCCCCGTGACGACGACGACGACGACGACGAGGACGAGGACGACCACGACGACGACGACGACGACGACGACGAAAACGACGACGACGACGACGACGACGACGAGAACGACGACGACGACGACGACGAGGACGACGACGACGACGACGACGACGACGAGGACGACGACGACGACGACAACGAGGACGACGACGACGACGACGACGACGAGGACGGGCGCCCTCGCGGCACGGGCCGCGGGGCGCCGCGTGCGAAGACCCCTTCTCGTCCCCTGCGGGTGGCCTGGAGCCGGAGGTCTGCCAGAGGTGGTCCTGGCCCGTCCCCGGGCCTCGTGAGGCGCCAGCGAGCTCGCATGCCCAGGGCCACATCAACGTGTGCTCTGCCAGCCTCGACGCCCTGACGATTGCAGACGGGTGCTCCCTGGCACTGCGGAGCGAGTGGCATGCTGGACATCCCTGCAGATGCCCTTGCACGCACAGGGGCAAGAGGGAAGCTCAAAATGCACAGACCTGGAGGCCACCTGGGCCTCCCCATCGAAACGCTGGGGCCACCCTCGGCCAGGGTCTTCTCCTGGCGCCACTTGGGAACGCCGCCGCCCACTGTCGCTACCCCACCGGCGTGGGACGACTTCCAGGGCACGTACCTTCAGCAGTGATGTTGCCGCCGTCCCACCCTTCTCCTCTTACTCCTCCTAGCATGCAGCATGCAGTGCTTCACCCGCGCATTTAACAGGCACCTTGGCGCCCGCCCCAGGGGACGATCTCCCCTCCGCGCACAGCTTAACCCGTGTGCCGAAGGAGCTCGGGGAACCCTTGGAATAACTCCAAAGATCACGACGACGACGACGGCGGCGGCGACGAGGACGGGGAGGGAGGAAGGAGGAGCGAGGGAGTCCTCCTGCATGGGCAACATTGATCACGATCAAGACTGCGAGCCGTCTGGTGGACGCTCAGAAATCGGTAATTTACATCCGCAAGCTCTACCAGTACCTGGCCACGAAAAAAGGCGAGCGGTAGAAACTTGCAGAGACAGAAGGGGCTCAGCAGCTTATAACGTCGGCCAGGCCCGACCGTCACTCTAAAGATTCTGGCCTGGCATCACTGGGCGTCGAAACCAGGATGCCACATCCTGAGAGTTTGGCCAAAAGTTTCACTTCCCCATTGCATGCTCACTGAAAGGGCCTCCCAGCAGCATCGAAACGTATTTGCTAGGCTGTCCTTGAGCGCGCTGGTTCTCCCCTGCCTTACCATATGGCGAAAACAAAAGGATGATCAAATGGGAGAATATGAATCGATGCCCACGAATTCGCGGTTGACCAAGGGGTTGCGAAGGGGGGGGGCCCAAAAACCCATCGAACGGAAAAGAAAACAACAACACAAAAAACAACTCACGCATCCACCGCTGTCATGCAGCGTTCAAGCCGATTGATCACCCACACACACTTGTTGGAGCGTCGCTGCCACGCGCGCGGCGGCGCGGCGCAAAAAAGGTCGGCACAAACACACAAACCCACACACACACACACACACACACACACACACACACACACACACACACACGTACACGTACACGTACACGTACACGTACACGTACACGTTCACGTGTACGTACACACACGCAGCTGCAACGAGCAAGCGTTCATCCACTGACGCCAAGCCAAAACGAGGTGACCGGTGGGAGCCAATTACGGGTGCCCGCCCCCCTCCGGGAGAAACCGCGCCTGCACCGAACGGGGCTCCACCGTCACCCCCCGGGCTTCTCCGACAACTGTGAAGCCGACTGGAACGGGAATGGAATGGGACGGCTGACGAACTCAGACAGGGCAACCTGACGTACGGTAGAGGGAAACAATTACTGAACACTCTCCCTCCCCCCCAAACTCAATGTTGGCACGCGTGGGGGAGACTGCGGTCGAAGTGCACGTCATCAGACCCACCGCCAACTTTGAACATTGGAGGGAGAGGGAGGCGTTGACAGATGAATGTGGCATGAGTGTTCGCCAATTTGGTCCGAGGCCTGTATGAGAGAGCGAAGGGGAGGAGAGAGGCGGGGAGAAAGGAGGAGAAAGGATCGAAGAGGCGGGTGAGGCGACGGGATGGGAGGCGAAGGAACAGTAGGAGGGGGGACCGAATCGAACGGGAATGGAGTGGGACCACTGACGAAGTCAGAAAAAGGCAACCCGACTTACAGGAGAGGGGAGGCGGACGAGAGGGGGGGGGAGGGGCGAAGAGAGGGGAGGGGACGGAAGGGGCGGGAGAAGCGAAAGGAGGGGAGGGAAAAGAAAATAGGGGAGGGGGAATGGAGTGGAACGGTTGAAATCGGACCGCTTTGGAGGGTTGCCACGCTCAAGCGCAACACCACGTCGGAATCAGACCAAGAATCCAAGGGTCGAGAAAAGGACAGGAGGGAAGGAGGATAGGAGGGGAAAGGGAGAGATTAGAGGGAAATGGGAGAGGAGAGGAGCGGAGGAAGGGGGGGGCCTTGGCGGCGCGCACAAGGGGGTGCCGCGAAGGGGTGACCTTCTAAGAAGGTCCAGACCTTAGTAGAAAGGCCCGGAGGCTCCGAAGAAGGCTTCTCAGAAGCCGGGCGGGCTTCTAAAAAGCCCCCTGCCTTCTCAGAAGCTCCCCCTCCTTCTCCGACGGCCACCATCACGGTTCTCCCTTATGCGCGACGCCAAAAATGGGAAGTGGAAGGGGAGGATAGGTATGGTAGATGGCACTTGGCGCCTTGAAATAGAGGTGGTGGCACATGTGCCTTGAGGTGAGGTACGGGTCACCCCCATCTACGGCCGTCTTCGTTGGTCAAGGGACCGTAATGGGGACCTCGGCCCCCTCCAGTGCCAATCGACGGCAGAATTGAAGGTTATCTGGTGGGAGCGGAAACCCAAGCAGCCCCATTGATGGAAGTGGAAGCTGCGAGGGGTGTGAGGCCTATTGAGGGGGAGGGGGAGGGGGAGGAGGAGGAAAGCGAAGGCCATGGACACCCTCTTGAAGCGCCATCCCGCCCACAGCTCTTACGAGCTGGGCCGGCCGCGACGACGAACCAACCCCCGACCAACCACAGCCAACGAGGACCCTCTCCTTATCCACGTCCTCCCTATTCGCCTTTCCCACCTCCTCCTCCTCCTTCTTCTCCTCCTCCTCCTCCTCCTCCTCCTCCTCCTCCTCCTCCTCCTGCTCCTCCTCCTCCTCCTCCCTCCCTCCCTCCCTCCCTCCCTCCCTCTCCCTTCCTCCCCCCCCCCTCCCTCCCTCCATCCATCATGATCAGCCGCCTCCCAGCCCCAACCAGTGGCAGCTCGAAGAAGACACCGCGCCCGGCGGGTTGCCTGCCCCAATCTTCGGGCTCCCAGGGCCCCTCTCCAGGCCACGGGGCCGTCAAAGACAGCTTCGGACATGGGCGTTGCTCCATGGGGGGGGGCCATCAATGAGGGGGCAAAGAAAATTGCGCCTCTCATGCCCCTTTTGGGCCCCTTTTGGGCCCCAGGAGGCCCCTTCAGGGCCCCTTCGAGGCACCCGAAATGTACCTATCTTCCCCCCCCCCCTTCATCGCCCCCCCATTACGCTGCGCCCGACGGACGAAAAAACCAGGCCCTGCCGGGCAACCTGGCCACCCAACCTCCCGCGCCGCGCCCCGCGACGCGCACGGCGCGCGGTGACCTCCGCGTCCCCACGATGCCACCTCGGCGAGGGGCGCCTCTCCATGACCCCGGCCGCGGGGCGCGAGGCGCGATCGTCTCTGCGCGTCGCTGAGCGTGGCCTGGGGGCCGTCAGAAGGGTGAGAAGCTAGCCACCTCGGCGAGGGGCGCCTCTCCATGACCCAGGCCGCGGTGCGCGAGGCGCGCTCGTCTCTGCGCACCGCCGAGCGTGGCCTGGGGGCCGTCGGAAGGGCGGGAAGCTGGCCAACCGGCCGCTCTGCTACACGGGCCCGCCGTGCGCCTGCGCAGGAGAGGTCCGGAGAGGCGGCCGCGAGGGAGCGGCGCCACCGCGCGCCGTCCGGCGTGCCCTCGGCGGTCCGCAAGAAGGGGCGCCGTGCACCGAACTAGAAGAACAAAAAAGGGCATAAGCATAAACTGTCGGAGCTCCGCTCGGACCTTCTGGATCGGCGCTGGAACCCCCCGACGGCGCCTCTGGCGCAACCCCTGGCGCGCTCCGCGCGCCACGGGGGGGGGGTCCGGCGCCGCTCCAAAAAGTCCGCACGGAGCTCCGAAAATGTGTATATGCCGTTCTTTCGTCTTCGATGTGAGCAGTAGGCTTCCTCAGGCTATGAACGAGGAGTCGTCGACCGATCCCCTTCTGCGAGCGGTGTTGGCGCTGGCGGACGACGACTCCGAGAGCGCGCGATCCCTGCTCTCTATGCTCGTGTCCGCATTACCTGTGTCGGAGACGGTTCGCATGGGAATCTCGCGAGGGAGATCCTGAATGTCAGGATCGTGTTTCCGAAGTGAGTCGACCACTGGTATAGTGCAAGCGAACACGACCCACAATACAGGTATCAGAAATAAGCTGTCCGAGCCGCCAGCGAACGTCTCCTTTATAATCGTCATGGTCCGTTCAAAGAAGAGCACAGGCACGTTGGCACCGATGAGGAAAAACATGTTCAGGCCAAGTGCCGAACACCGTACCCATTCGGCAGGCCACTCGAACTTCAAGCCTGCCAAGGCCTTCTCTGTGAATACACCTAAAGCATTCAGAGCACCCCATGCGTACCATAAAGGCTCTGTTCCAGGTCCTGTCGTTTCATGCCAAAGCGCAACGAAGCCAAAGATGCATGGAATAGCAAGCCATGGCCGCTTCCTCCCCCCTAGAGGGAAGTAGACATAGCGGAGTGCCCAACGATTAAGACTGGCATGCCAGATTCGCCAGAAGTGTTCGAAGCGATAGTTAGCATCGACGCAAAGTCCACCAACCCCTGCTTGCTGGAGGTGACAAGTCATGTGAAACATTTCGGTGTTCCCATTCCCCTGCTCATCGCCCCCGAAGGATCACAATCCCCTTACACGAAGGCGACGAGCTCGTCAACATACCTCCCTGGCCCTAGAGGCCCCCACGACAGCCCCAGAGTTTCGCAAGATTGCCCAGACCGGCATCCCAGACCTCCCAAGATGGCCCAAGATCGCAAGAGGGCTTTAACAACTGCCAAAGTGGACATGGCCGCGAAGGAAGCCCGACAGGACTCCCACTCACTCCAAGAGGATCAGCAAAGAGCCCCGAGACGGCCCCATGGAGGCCTCCAGAAAGCTTACAACACAAAACAGGGAGGCTGAAAAAGGGCACCGAAAGAGCCCATGGGAAGAGCCCATGAGGGCCCAAATGAAGGCACCAGGAGGCTCCAGCAACAGAAGCAGCCCCAAGAGCACAGCAAGCAGGACCCGAGGAGCGCCCAAAAGAGCACTAACAATGCTAAGCGTTCAAACAAACACGAATCGAGGCCAGTGACCCGCCGCGCAATCATATGGCCCAGGAGGCGTCCCGACTGCGTTGCCGACGTATTGAGAAACCAACAAGGAAAGGCACGGCTGGCCGCTAGAGGCTCATACCCTCCCTGCTCACCAACACCTTGTCTATCATCTAGGAATCCTCACCCTCCTTGCCCTCCTCTCCCCACCCTTCCTCATTTTACTCCGCAGAACCTCGTTTTTCCTCCCCATGGTTACCTTCCTCCCCCTTCCCCCTCCTCTCCTGGACCAAAAAACAAACGACAACACACCACCTACGGCTCCAGGGGGCTCAGCGTACACCAAGAAATCTGGCGTGGGCTTTTGCGTGGTATACGCTACGGCGCCCGATGGGTCGTAGCACAAGATGGATAGCCGATCTTCGTCCTCCTCATTCCTCATTCCTCCTCCTCCTCCTCCTCCTCGTCCTCCTCCTCCTCCTCCTCCACCTCCCGCACTTCGCCCCATCGTCACGGACCCCTCCTGTGAGTCGCCGGGCCAGCGAAAGCCTCTGGGACAACATGTTCTCTGGCACGTCGATGCCGTCCAGCAGCGCAACAGCTCGACTGAGACGCCAAAGCACAACAAGCGACAACCACTGATACTGCAACATCCAGTGAACGAGACCCCACATCTCCCATACCCCGATGTCGTGCCGGACAGGTGGGGGAGTTTTGCGGTACAAGAGTACCGATGCGTAGTTGAAGTGCAGGCAAATGACCGTGACCAAAGCCGTCAAAGCAAGCCGAAAGCAGTATATCGTTACTTCCTTAGCCGAATATGTCCCCTGTGGTTCGTAAACTTGCGATACGAATGCATTGAAGTTGATTATTGGACCACCCCAATACAAAGGAGGATAAAATAGGTATGCGACACAGTGTCCGAATGTATAGCGGTAAAGAGGTAAATTCGTTTCCTGTCGCACTATCAAATCTGGCTTGTTCTCCAATCGCAAACCAGGAGGGGTATCCCGAATTGCATGGACGTAATCGATAAAAAAAGCTATCATCCGCAACGTGACAAAGCGGATAGAATGCCACGGACAAAGCCCTGCGAAACCGACCATGAAGGGAAGCTCCTCCACAGTCCAATGCAATGCTTTGTGTAGGTCGCTGCACCTACCAGCGTAACGTAATTCCTGCTCTGGGCCTCCACCGCAAAAATTGTCCCAATAGTCCAGGGGTCCCAAATAGCGGAAGCCTAACAACATGATAGGGAGGTTGAAGGACCACGTCACGGCGAGGGCGAAAGGCCTCCTGGCGCATGTTCTCGCTAACATGAAATTGGCCCCTGCCCAAGTCATCAGCAAGCCACCACCCATGAGGCCGTGCCCTAAGAAACAGAAAACGAATCCCAAGGCGACGTTCCATGTCATTGATTCTCTTTTGCTCCAGCGGCAGAAGCCCCGCGGAATCAGCGCAACGAGAAAAAGAGGCAAGATCTGGCCCAACTTACCTATCATTTCGAAAAGACGGTCATCCCAAGCGGGCACAGCCTCCAATGACCACTCCAGAGTCCGGAGCCGTTTGCCGAAGCACTCCTGTGGAAAGCGCGTCGGGCGCACTGCAGCATCAAGACGCTCCCAAAGGCCCGGGTCACTGTAAAACTGGTACTCCCCGAGCGGCGCCTGTCGCTTGGTATCAAAGCGGTCCGAGCCAGAACCCAACACGCGGAGGAAGGGCTCCGACTTGTTGTAGGTGTAGCGCGTCTGCTCACCGATGAGAATGTAGTCTACAGCAAGCTTCGAAAAATTCGCCAACTGAAAAGGTAGGCCCAAAGGTGATTTGGCAAGTTCATACAGCTTGCAATCACCGGCCACTGTGAGTGGGGCGTCGCACTCGGTATTCACCAAATGCCCGTCCTGTCGACGCAAAGACTGGCTGACCGTGTAGACATACAACACACAATAGAAAGCAAGCACTACCAAGCACGGCAACTTGGGGACATGTTTCCAACGATTCGGGGTTGCACGCTCGCGTTCTCGCTGCATGCTTCGAATGATGGATTACTCCCTGCCTTGGGCCCAAGCAAACAAGCGACATATGCGAAACTACACGGCTGACAATATATCGGAACGAAAACCATCAATAACAACAACGACAACGCCAAAAACAAAAAAACAAAAAATAACAAAAGCAACAAAGAACAACATGTTCCGCACGCACTGGCGTCAGCCGGCCCTGTTGACATGTCATAGAAGCTGTCACGAGTGTTCGACAACGAGGAACTGTTGTTTGTAAGTTAACCAAACAATTGTTTGTCCGTGGGGGTGCCTGTCTCCTGATGCTGATCCAACATCGGAAACCCGTACTTGCAGCAGAATCATCAGACTCGGGGGGCGGCGTCTGGCATTCGCATGCGCTGCTCGCGGGGAGGGGAAACCATGCACCTTCAAGGAATAAACCTGCTGTACGACAAGCACACGTATATGGATCCAGAACCCTTCTGTCCATACACAAGTCCACTCATACATACACCACATCCTTTACCAGCAGCCTTTTAGGCTAAAGTGGTCGAGCGATATCGCTCTCATCTTGTCTAAAAAATGCTCTTTTTTGTTGCGGGGACCCCCCCATTCCTGAGGTTGCTCTGAGGGATCGCGACCCTTGATGGTTCCAAGAAGCCTCCGATGTTCCAAGATGGCCTCCAAGGCGGCTCGAGGTAGGCGAACGTGGCTCGATATAGCTTCCAACATACCTCCACGAGGCCCGACGAGGGCCGCAAGACGGTTCCCAGTGCTTTCGGAGTCTCCATCAGCACCACCCCAACAGGCCAAACTTCGCCAGAGCCTAAAGGAAATCAATGAAGTGTGTGCTTCTCGCCTTTTCGCTTCCGATGCGCTTTGAAGGTCTCAAGATGGCCCAGGAGAGCCCCCAAAGGTGCCCAAAAGGCCCCCCCGACGGCCCAAACAGCGCCCAAAGGCGGTCCAAGAGGGCCCCAAGAGCGCCCCAAGAGGCGACGTTGTGCGTCCCAGGGGGGAGAAACATTGGGGGCCCCCCCGTTTGATCGATAGCCTCAAAAATGGCCCCAAGAGGCTTCCCAACGCCCCTTGCGCTCTCATCTCGGAAGAACAAACATTGGTGATCCCCCTCCAATCACCGTTGTATTTTCCAATTACAAGCGCCCCTCCCGGGACCCGCACCCTGTTTAATGTAAGGGATCACGTGGTGCAACCTGACCTAACCGCGTTGTTGGGCCCCGAACTTCAAAAAAACTTGTCCCGCCTGATTCTTCCTCACAAATTATTGCAAAACCGCGCTCTCGCGCGGGACTCCCCACAAGTTTTGCGAGAATCGCACCCTCGCGTGGGACCTCCCCGCAGTGTGTTCAACCGCCGCGTCCTCGACACTTAGGAATCACGCTCTCTTTTTGGATTCCTCACGGTTTACCTGGGAACCGCACTATCGTTCGAGACTTCCTCGCGATACATGCAGGACAGACGCTTCAGCAACCCGCCTGCTCGACCTGGCCGCCTGGGCCCGGCTTCCCGACCCGCCCGCTAGGGTCCACCCGCCCGATCAGCCCGTGTGGTTCTGCCACGTTTTTCTGTTCCGAGCCTTCCTCCTGTTATTCTCTCTCGTGCTCCATCCTTCTCCCTCCCCCTTCCATCCGCCCTCTCCTCCCCTGTGTCAGGGGCTGCGCTAAATTCACGCGGCAGGCAAGGAAGCTATACCCCCCCAAAAGGGGGTACGGTCGAAAATGAAGAGGGCGGGCATCGATGGTTTGGGATATATGTGCTGAATGGCACGTGAGCAGGTAAGAGCGAACAGACTGGCAATGATTATTGTTGCTTCTTCTGTTGTAAATGGCGACGGGCTGCCTTAGAGCCTAGACGCCTTCGGCCGAAGGCCGAGAAAATTAGTATGGGGGAAACAACCATTAAGCAGCCTCGTGGCCACTCCAAGGAGTAACCAACTGTGAGAAGCCCAAGCAGGGCAACTCGCAGCCGAAGAGGAGACTGCGGTCACCGCAATTCCGGGCCCCCGTCAGTGCGAAGGGGGGGAAAGACCCCCACAAGTCAAGGATAGCAGCGTCGCGCCTCCAGGTTTCCCAAGGCACCCCCAAGAGGGCTCCAAGAGGGCCCCGAAGACCCCAAAATCCCCCAACAGAGAAACAAGAGGCTTCCAAGAGGTGATTTTGAGGGCTCTGTCCTTGTCCTCGTTGTCCTCCTTCCCCTCGTCCTCCTCCTCGTCCTCGTCATTGCCCTCATCGTCTTACTTTCCCTTTTCCTCCTATTCTTCGTCGTCATCGTCTTCCTCGTCGTCCTCCTCCTCCTCCTCCTCCTCCTCCTACTCCTCCTCCTCCTCCTCCTCCTCCTCCTCCTCCTCCTCCTCCTCCTCCTCCTCTCTCCTCCTCCCTCCTCCTCTCCTCTCCTCCTCCTCCTCTCTCCTCCTCCTCTCCTCCTCCTCCTCCTCCTCCTCCTCCTCCTCCTCCTCCTCCTCCTCCTCCTATTCCTCCTTCCGTCGCCCCCACGCGGACCCCAGGGATGGCCCAGAGAAGCCCTCCGAGGCCATCCCCTTGCTCCAAGAGATCGCTCTGTTCACCCTTGTTGCCCGCTTAGTTTCACTACTGCATGTGTTTATTCGTCCCTTTTCCCATCAACTCTTACGGGCAGGACGCAACCCGAAAACAAGGCATCGATCGATCCACTCGAGACTCCATGCATCCTGTCGCACATACATCCATCGACCCTGTCTCCACACAAGAACCAATCCAAGCAGGCATCCATAGGCGGCCCCGATCTGCCGCCAAAGCCTCGACATGCCAGACAGATCACCCCAAATGGCCCTGCACGGCCCCAAGACGCGGGCCCCAGGATGGCCCCAAAAGGTCGCGACTGGTCGCAGAGGTCACAGTGGCCCCGCGGAGCGCCTTCCCGAACTTCTGATGTTCCTCCGCCTCCTCCTCGCCCTCCTCCTTCTCCTTCTCTTCCTCCTCCTCCTCCGCCTCCTCCTCTTGCTCCTCCTCCTCCTCATCCTTCTCCTCCTCGTCCTCTTTGACGCCGTTTGGGAGCCATGTCGGGCCGTCGTGGGGTCCTCATGAGACTCTCTTGCATTATTTTAGGGCCACCCTCGCCTGGGGCCGTACTTACAACATTCATGGGAAATCTCGGGGCGTTCTTGGACCGTCACGAGGTTGCTCTTGGGCCGTATTGGGTTCCTCTGGAAACCCTCTTTGGCCATCCTGGGACAATCTTAGGGCTGTCCTGGGTATCTTGGCATGCTTGTAGGCGCTGTCTGGCTCCGCCGAAACCCTCGTGGCATTGAGAAACGAGGGGCCAGCAAATGTCAGACCCTTTGAGCCCACACTGAACGTTGGAGCCTGTTGGGCCTGCTTGTGTTTCGGTGGAGTCACCCAAGAGCGCCGCTGGAGCCGTTAAGGAGAACTCGGGGTCTCCTGCGGCTTATTGAACCCTCTGGGAACGCCAGGGCCAGCCCAAAAGGAGTCAAGATGTCCAATGCCGGAAAATCAGCCGGAAAAGGGAAGGAGTCTGGGAGGGCGGGCGGGCTAGCAGTGGGCCTGGGCTGCCACTACCCGAGCGTACAAGATTACCAGCATGCTTGCATGAAGTAATCCCATCAGCCCCCCGTGCGTGGGTGTTCTAGCGATATCTTTCTTTTCCTATTCCAAAACCATCTTTCCCTCGGGAGGGGCACCCTCCCCCTCCCGTCCCCGAGATGTGTTGGGGAGTTCCACGATTTGTCAAGGAGGCTCTGTTGCAAACAAGATGGTTCCAAGATGGCCCCCAATGCTCCGAGATGATTGCCAAGATAGTTCAAGAGATCCTACGATGGTTCGACATAACTTCCGACATGCCTCCAACACGCCCGACAAGAGCCACAAGACGGACTCAAGTGCCCTCGAACCCCCCAACGACCCTCCCAAGACGCCAATACCCTTCAACAACCTAAAGGAAATCTATGATTGCATCTTCTCGCCGTTTCGCTTCCGATGAGCATGTGCAGCCTCAAGATGGTCCCAAACTGGCCCCAGGGAGCCCCAAGAGAGGCCCAAGAGGCCCCCAAGATAGCCCCAACGCCGCCCAGGAGCGCCGAAAAAAGGCAAAAAGAAGGCCCCATGAGGCGGTCTTGAAAGCCCTTGAGGGGAGACCTGAATTCGGGAACCCCGTTTTGTTGATCGACGCCCTCCAAGATGGCCCTGAGAGGAACCTAGGGCCCCCGAGACGCCCCAAAGAAAGCCCCAAGAGGGCCCCGAAACATCCGAAAAGAGCCCAAGAGGATTCCAAGATTCCACAGCGACACCGCAAACATGTTCCTTCCCGCGCAAAACCAATTATCCGCCGATCCTGCGTGTGAGCGTCAAAGAGCCTGAGCTACAGCCTACAGCCTGAGCTTCAGCTCTGCCCAGGGGGGGGGCCGGGGGGCTCTGCTGGGAAAGGATGGGGGGGCCATGCTCCGCCTGTGCTCCCATCTTCTTCTGGGCGGGGCCGGGGCACGCAAGACCCCGCCGCTCTGGGGGTCCCGTCGTCGACTCTGTTCTCGCGAGGGCCGCAGCCGGGCGCGCCGCAAGGCCGAAGAGCCGCCGAGGCCTCGTGGCGCCGCCAAGGCCGCCGGGTTCTCTGCATGCGCTGCCGAGGCCGCCGGGCGCGCCACGAGAGCCTCTCGGTTCGGGGCCCAGGCTCTGGCTGCCATGCGGGGGTCGCGCCGGGCAGAAGTCGCCAAGCACGACCGGAGCCTCTGTGGGGCGCGGGGCTCAAGATTCCGATGGGGCCGCGAGCCGTGTGAGAGGTGCGCCAAAAAAGGGCGGCGCCGCCGTGTGCACCCATGCTGCTTGGGCCTTCGGTGGGGCCCCCTATGGGGCCACGAACCGTGTGAGGGGTGCTCCAAAATGGGGCGGCGCCGCCATCTGGGCCCTGCCGCTGGGGCCTCTGGGTGCGCCGAAACACAGACATGTGGATGGCAGAGGCATGGATGGAAGGAAGGACGAGGGGGAGCAGGACAGCAGAGGAGGGAGAACGCAGGGCGCTAT